ATGCTTTGTTTAAAATATATATTGACAATTAAATTAAATCATCTCTTTTTTTATTCTTGTATCATTTTACACATATTTTGAGATTTTTTTTTACTTGATTAAGAATAAATCATTCACATTAGAATTAATAAATTTATAAAATATTATTTTTTTATTTATCACTTCAAAAAATCAAAATTTAATCAATAAAATAAAAATAACAAATACCTTTGCCAATTAAGTCAGACTTTCTTGAGCATTTAGATTACATTTTTAATAAACGTAACCAGTAAATTAGTCCGCAGTTGATTCCCAGTACAAAGTGAATGCCTAGCATTTCACCCCAAAAAAATAAAAAAAAAAAGGAGGTCAATGCCTAGCACATGGTGAGGGGTGTTTTCCCCAGTTGACGGGTTTAGCCCAAAGTCTAATATACTTGAAAGCTCAAATTGGAGTTCTAGGCCTTAGGCAAAGTAAGAAAGTAATATTCGACCTGCACAATCGCTGTGATCATCCAGATGGGCTTGACATTTCACATGATTTGGGTTGGGCTACCTTACCAATGGACTGACCTTGACCTTTTTCTCTCTTTCTTTTGCACTTAACTGACCTAAAATTCAGAGAAGCACATTTTTAAAAAGTGTAGCAAGTTTGTTTTGTTTTTTTGTTTTTTTGTTTTTTTTTGTTTTTTTTTTTTTGCACTTAGCCCCAGTTTGTAAAACAATGGAGCATCTTAGATTGAATTCATCATTCCGATTCAGTCAAAAACAGAACAAAATTTGTAAAAAAGGAGAGGGGTGAAATAGAAAGAAATAAAAAAGAAGTAGATAAACTTAATAAATGGGAGTAATCTAGACTGGATGTGGATGTGGATGTGGATGTGCTTGTCTGAATTTTTTGTTTTGAAATGGGAAATAATTTTTGGCCAGCGGGATTTTATTAGGAGTACCACTTGATAGCAACTCATCCCTGACACAAAGAAGAGAGGAGAAAATAATAAAATGAAATAAAAAATTTTTTTTTGGAAAATTTTGGGGTTTTCCGGGTTCCTTCCTTTTTTTTTTTTTGTTGAATAAGGAGAAATTATGGGACAAAGGGTATATTTTTTCAAATAGTTAATAAAAATTAAATTTTTAACTAATTAAATTTAAATATTAGAATTTAAAAGGGAACCATTAATGTTAAATTCAAACATATCATTTTTCTTTTAATGTATTGAATTTAATTACTTATCATTGCAATTGCAAGTGGTCTCTTTAATGCAGCACACTTTATCTACTTTTTTTTTTTTTTTGGTCCTGTCAAATATGGAGTAGATGGATTCTTTGGTTGGCCTTTTTTCTGAATTCTTTATTTGAGGAAACTGTTAGGTATAAATAATATAGTAAATTTAAGATTTTAAAATTTTTGGTACAAATATCAATGTAAAGTTTTATAAGTGATTACATAAAAAAGGAATACAAGTGATTATCTGGCTTATAATTAATTATAAGTAGAATTTTTTTTTTTGAGCAGGTTATATTTTGGGATTCAAATACTAGTTTTTAGATGAAAAATATATCTTATTAAGAGACATATAGTTATCAGATCATGAAAATAAATAGATATTATTGATTATGGATCTAGAAAAGTAAGTTTCTTATATTTTTTTATTAAAAAGAATCTATCATTTTTAATAAATTATCTCATTTTATAATTTTTTTTAACTTCAAAAATTTTGGAGAGGAGGATTATTAGTGTTTAGGTATAAAATTTAATAATTTATACCCAAGCACATTCCTTTAAAAAAAATGACTATTAAGTTGCTTAGTGCTGGACATCTCACTTTATAATTGATTATATTCACCTTCTTGAAAAAATTATATATGATGAATCAAGCCAACTAAAATTTCAACTTGGTTTCTCCTAAAAAAGATTTCGGAGTAGAAGCCAACCAAGCAGCCCCTTGACAATACCACTAGTAAAATGAAACCATTATTGTCTGTCCATGATGATAATAATGGTGGAGGTTCAAAGTGGTCCAGACAACACATCTTGCACCCCATCTCATCTCAGCATATCTAAACAACATGCCATTTTTTAAGCAAAAAACTTGGCTTGATTTATTTTTTTTTAGGTTATGGCTAACATTTCTTTTGAAGAAAATAATTTTTTGATTCATGTCTGTTACAATTCATACATATATGTATATATGATGGCTTTAGCCTTCCAGATTTCCACTTCATATTAGGGACAATTATATCATGCATGATATAATATGGTACAAAATATTTTGATAACAAACTTCGTCCATACTTATAAATAAATAATTTAATTTTAATATGTAATTTTAGTGACTCCAATCAACTATTGTTTAATAATGTTATGTTATTTTAACATTAGGCCGGTTTGGTGCAAGTGTGACATTTGAATATGATACCGTCAGGTCCAGAGCAGCAATGACGGCAACAGACAAGTGAATGATGTATTTTTTTAATAAAATTTAGCTTTTATTTCTACATTAAAAAAAAAATACTAGTTTTTAATTTATTTAAAAATATAATTTAATTTTTTTTACAAAGTATGATCGAATAAAAAAAACTCAAATCGACCCTTGTACTTTTTTTAATATTCAATTCAGCCCTTTATATTTTTCTTGGGTTCACAAAAGCCCCAACTTATGGTGATGTTATATCAAGCCATTTTTCAAAAAAAAAAAAAAATGGCACAAATTAAGTTTAAATTAGATTAAGATAATGAAATAAATGCTTGATCTTTTGGATTGAGGGAAGAGAAGGAAAAAAGGTGGAAAATGTTTAAGGATCTTTGAATGGCTAAACTTCAGTAAAGGGAAGGGATCAAGGGAGATAAAGAATACAAAAAGAGGTTTCATATACTAGCCACTTCATTTGTATTATTTATTTTGATTTTTTTAACCTCTATTCTAAAAAGTAC